TGAAATCCTAAAATTATCCTTTGACCAGGAGTTGATCTGAGCCATGTTTCAGCGAAAATTGTCAATGCGTTGACTAGCGTTGCAACATGTTGACTAGCATTGACTCATGGGTACTCGTTGACTAGAGTTAACCTATGATTATGTGTTGACTGGTGTTGACTCATGGATATGCATTGACTGGCATTGACTCATTGGTACGTGTTGACTGGCGAGGAGGTCATGCGAGTCTTGCTCATGTAGGAGAGCTTGACACATACAGGTGAACTTCAGGTTGTCAGGTGATCTTAGCCTTCAGGCGAGTTCGAGCCTGGAGGTGAGCTTTAAGCCTTCAGGTGGGTTCGACTAATGCTAGCAAGTCACCTTTGAGCTGGAGATTAGCACCGCCCTTCGAATCGACAAGAAAGGGTGTCATCTCGAGATCTTCTTAGTGAGTCGACTTCAGGAGGGAGACTAACACCGCCCTTCGAGTTAACATGAAGGGATGTCTTCCTAAGGTCTTGGCAAGTCGACTTCAAACGGGAGACTGGTACTACTCTTCGAGTCGATGAGGGGGTCTCGACGAGTTAACTAGGGGGTGTCGATGTGTCGACTAGGGGGTCTCGGCCACTTGGTCTTCCAGTCGACGAGGGGGTGTCGGTGAGTCGACTAGGGGGTCTTGGCCGCTTGGTCTTCAAGATACGGACTGACACCGCCCTTCGAGTCGACGAGGGGGTCTCTACTACTTCGAGTCGACGAGGGGTCTCGACGAGTCAATTAGGGGGTATCGGCCGCTTGGTCTTCGAGGTGCATACTGACACCGCCCTTCGAGTCGATGAGTGGGTCTCCACCTTTTCGAGTTGACGAGGAGGTCACAACGAGTCGACTAGGGGGTGTAGGCATATAAAATTGCTTATAGGTCCCTTAACACGGCTCAACACGAACTAATGAACCATCGGGCGACGTATCTAAGCACGAACGTCAGTCCACAACACCGAAGCCAAGTGACACGCAATGAAGCGGATTATCAAGGCTACGAAGCTGACGAACCGCACGTGAACGACGGAATGAATCCACTCGCGTGCGGAATCAAACCAACGGTCCAGAGAGTCAACGAGTCATCCAACCATATAACGGATTCGAACTCAGACACCAAAGCCGATTTACTGCCTAATCGGGATCCAGACTGCCGGTGGCTCGGCATGAGCCGAGCCACCCTGAGGTGGCCGCCCAGATCTGTGCCAAATGCACAGATCTGGTTGCCTATAAATAGGCGGGGTCATTCATCATTTCAGAGGATTTTTTGGAAGAACTTTTGGAGAGCCGAAACTCTGCCGGATTGAGACCTCATCTTGGAGTTTTTGAAGGCTTGAAGACTTGGACGTTCGGATCTGATTCTCGGCGAGCACCCGCATCACAAAAAAAGGCAGGAGTTCGAGGGGATCGAGATCTCAGATCTACGTTGTTACACTCCGGATCAAAGCTTGGTCTTTGATCCCGAGATTCGAGCGATTGTTTCCTTGGTGAAATAATCCCTCCGGCTATTATTTTCTTGGTGAAATAGTACCCGTTATACTGCGTAGATCTGTTCGGATCTAGATCGCGCGGTGGTCCACGGCAAACAACCCCGGTGCAGGCAAACAACCCACCAAAGCGAGCGACCGCAAAACAGGAGCTCGCGATCTGTTCGACAAAAGAGAAAGAGTTGTAATTTTCTTTATTTATTTTTGATTTTCATTGTAACCGGATCTAAAAAAGATCGGATCTTTTGTAACCAAAAAACTGTTATTCAAGATAGCAATGGAATCAGTAAAGAAAGCAACGATTTTTCCCGCGAACAATCTAGCGACCACAGTGGGAGCCACCGATCTCGCTGCCGAGATCGGAGCGTCGCATGGAGGAAAAACACAAAAGCTAGAAAACAAGATTAGAAATTGTTTGTTAATCATCAAAACCAGATTAGAATGTATGCTAAAAAATATGAGTCTTCACAGTACTATGCAAGATGGAGATGATAGAGGCGATGGAGAGGGACTTGCACTTTTAATCAAATCATTTTCATCTAGGGTTTAGATTCTAGGAGAAAAGTCTGTTGGTGCGAAGAAGTTGAAGCCACCAACGACAACCTCACCCCGATCGACGCCGAAGTTGCGTCGGGTGAAGTACCATCGGCCTCTAAGCAGGTCAAATCCGCCATCGAAGGCGTGGTGACTCTCTCTAAGAGAGCTTGCCAGAGGCAGCGTCAACGCCTCGCGAAGCAATTCGCCAAGGCCATGGAGTCCGTTGACGGGGTCCGCTGACAGCTGCTATGTGAGATAAAGGTGGAGGTAGGGTTGTCCATCCGGGTCAGCCCGGCCCGGCCCGACCCGAAAAATCGGGCTTGGGCCGGGCAAAACCGAAGCCCAGACCCGGGCCCGGTAGGCCCGAGCTGGGCTCCGTGCCGGCCCGGTTTTTTTGTTTTTTTGTTTTTTATTTTTTTTTTCAAGAAAACAAAGCAAGAAATAAACATATTTTTGATAAAAAAATTTATATTATTAATCATTTGCAATTATTTAATTTACAAATATAAAAAATTCTAGAAATTACAATAATAAAATGATATAAAACAATTATAGATTTTATAGATAAAAACAAAATTAAAAATACAAACGAGGCAAACAGCCTCAACATCAAGTGAAGAATGGTTCCTCCAAGCCATCAATGATGGAGTGGGTCTGGGTAAAACGGAACCGTACGACGCTGGAGGAGCATATCCGCAAGTGCCACGCATTATCGGCGCAAGTACGGGCCAAAGCTGAAGAAGCTCGTAGAAGACTGCAAAAGGAGGTGACGAAGAAGCCACCACCAACCCGCCAAGTCTGGAAGCCGAAGTCTGAAGTGGCGACTCAGGCCAAAAAGCAACCATCGCAGCCTTCTAAGCAAGGTCAAATTCCGGCGAGTCAACCAAAGGCAACTGTTCTGGGAGATCCCACAAGACCATCCCAGAGGAGGAAGTCAGTTTTGGAGCGCCTCGGTCCGCTTCCCAAAGAACGAGGCAAAGCTCCAGTTCAAGAACGGTTGGGGCCAATGAAGAAGTCCCAAACAATTCAACATGCTGGGGGTCGCCGCAACCCTCAACATTTGGAGAAAATCGTGGCACCCAAGCGCACAACTTTGCGCATCGAAGTGCAGGAACCCGCTGAAGATTCACACCCACAAAGGCGCGTTTCGAGGCGTGTGACTCTTGGAAGCCCAAAGAAGGCAATCCAACCTCAGATGGAAACATTATCATCTGATAGTGATAGTGTTATACCTGAGAAGTCGTGCCCGCACACGATAGGTTACTCCGACTGTCAAAATGACGAGTTGTACTATCGTGCTGGGGGTACGAATAGAACCAGGAAGAGGAGTCCCCGAGAACAGGAAATTCAATGCCCCTGTTCCAAACTCATACGGGTGGTATTGTCTGAATGCAACTGCATTAAGGCGGTCCCCGAAAGAGTTTCAGTTTTTGAAAGACTCAGCATGGAAACGCCAAGGCCAAGGACTAGACGTTTCCGAAGAAGAAAAACAATGGTCGAAGACGGTGAACATTCAAGGGTCACTACCAATATGACCAGCAAGGGGACATCGGCACGGGATGATTTCGAGTCGATTCTGAGAGCCTCCAGGCCTAGAACCCGTCTGTAGTCCGGAACCATCGAGAGGGCAGCCTATAGTAGGGTTCGGACAAGACGCCCTTTAGAAGATGAAGCGCAGTCGCATCAGATAATACGGTATCCAGCGAGGGACAACCCCGTGAGGCGCTTATGATAGGTGCGGAGCAAATTGCCAAGATGATTGAAGACGCTTTGGCTAAGCAGCAGGAAACTTTCAGGTTCGAGATGCAGATGACCATGCAGAACATGAGAGAAATGCATGACCAACAAATTCAAGCATTGGCGAACCAGCAAGGCGAGCCGAGTCGTCGCAACCAAGTCCATCAGGAGGACGAGGATACGAATGCTCATAATGTCACTGATCCTCCCGTCAATGCAGGGGGTGGCAACGAGAATGTTAGTGAAGATACAGGTGAAAGCCTAAAAATTAAAAACCTCGAGAGCAAAATCAATACATTGATTTCCGCCCGACCTCAGGTCGGGCCCGGGCCCGGGCCCGGGGCTTTTTGGACAGTCCTATGTGGAGGCAGAGGGGAAGGTAACACTACACACAAGGGTTTGTTTAGGATTTTATTTTTTTAATTAGAAGTCTGGACGCATCAGCATGTTACACTGTGCTTGAAATAGCAACCAAACATTGTAAATTCCGTAAAGCTATAGGTAGGCCCCACTTTTTAACACGTTTCGATCAATTTACTCCATATTTTTTGCAACCAAGCAGCCCCTTTAGAACCTAACAAATTCCCAACGTCTGTAAACAAGCTTATTTTCAGCAACACTACGTATTCTCAGCTTCTGCAGGTGAAGTAAATTAATTCGGAGTCTTCCTTTCGTATCAAAAAAAAGTGTCTCTTTGATCCAACTAACATTTCCCACAGGGCACTTCTCCAATTCCTTCTAGTATATAGCTAGTCGTCTTCTTATGTTTTCACTTTTCTGCCTATATAGTTCACTTTTAGACCTTTCCACTATCCTGTCCCTTGTCCCAAAACTTTTTCTTATCACTCCTACTTTTGTCCCCCTGTGTCTGTACACAACCCCAGCCTATGTCCCTCTTCTCTCTCTTCACGTTAAACATATAGACAAAGTTTTTAGCTTCAAACCAGTTGAGTAGATATCCTTACATACAGTAAAACCATTAACGGAAACTACAGAGCAAGTTGAAATAACAATTGAAAGTGAAACTCTAAGATCTTACTTCTCTCTCTCTTTTTTTTTTTTTTTGTGGGGCTTGTCCAATCACAATCTTTATTGTACATCCAATACCGTTGACACTAAAAAGATCCACCATACCCTTTTGTGGCTTTAAAAAGCACAGAGGAAGGGAGGGAGGGAGAGAGAGAGAGAGCGCCACGCCCGTGCTCCTCCACACAACATCAAAGCAAGTGAGCAACTTCGTGTATATAAAACCAAGAAAACCCTTAAAAACCCTACAGGCCCTTAAACCACCCATAGTTCACGCTATATATATATATAGTTATTAAGTGTGTCGTATTGAACTAAACTAATTATAAAGACCTCTGATGAAGCAAGCTTGTCAAGTTGCTGGTCCTCTGTCTCTTAATGGAGGACTCATCGCCTGCAGAACTCCGATCCATGACAGCCTTAAGCGCATCTTGAATGGATGAGATTGACAACTGTCGATTGTCATCATGAGATGACTCATCATCACCAGTGATAATAAGAACGTTCTTAACTCGACCACCGAGACTGGTGATCTCGGCCTTTAGGGTTCGGAGGTTAAGAGATTTGAGAGCCTTGACGACGTCGGACATGAGATCAGAGCGGTCCTCACAGCAGAGAGAAGCCTTGACGATGAACTGTCCGTTGTTGTTGCTTGTCGCGACGACGGTTAGCTCGTCAGACTCGGTTGGGAGAGGGTTCTCTTCGGCCATTGCGGATGTTTGCTGTTTGAGCTCTTTTAGGTGTTGGATAACTTCAGCTAATAGTGATGCTTTGTCAGTCTACAGTTGAATGACGAAAAGAGAAAGTCAGTTGAGAAAGAATAGTGGTATTTGAAGTTTCTTTAAGATCATTGGAGTGCATGAGTGAAATTTAAGTTTCGTTAATAAAACGTTTATCCTGGTAATTAAGTTACATAAATGCAAAACAAATTAAGATTATGTAAAACATAAAAATAGACGCATATAGTATACAGGACATATATATCTGCAGGCTCATTCGGAAGATGAGACATGCATCAAGATCTATGATGCGCGCATGGGTCCTGCAGGGCCACTGAGCTTTCCGTGTTCAGCAAGGAAAATAACTGTTAAAGAGGAGTCTCAAGGCAAAGATATAGTTAAGATTCGATACTTAAATAAATATATGATTACTTATGTCGAGACTCATGACTTAACTGAGCTTTAATCCTTATAATTAAGCTAATTGGATCCAGCCTTATCCTAGTTCATTTTCATTTCATCGATCGTCCTTTTCAACCCAAGAAAAATAGTCAAGTGACTATTTATTGGATATATAGTATGCTAACACTGTGTTTGGATGGAGGAAGGAGAAGGTAAGTTAAGAGTTAAGGGTAGCTGAGTTTACAAATTTATGATTTTTCTTTCTCCCTCAATTTAGGCGCAACCAAGGATAAGAAAACCGACATCTAATAAATAATTTTGTTTGGACTATTTTGCGTTCTAATATTAAAAACGTTTTAACAATGTATAAGGTTATTTATGTAATTTTACATCAATCTCCCTCCTTTCTCCTAGTAAACTTGCAAACAATTTACTCTATGGTCTCTTTTAACTAATTTACTCACCATTTGTTACCCTTCCTTCTTCAATTTATACGTACCTAGCTTTTCTTCTCCTTGTAAACTTCCAAACACAGTGTATGAGAGATCGTGGAGTTAACTTAAAAGAGAGTGAATATAAGGGGGGTCGGTGGTGTTGAGTGATTAAAACGTTAGGGCGGCCGCATGAATATTTGACAAATAATAAGTAAATAGTTTCTAACAATAAATGAGTGTTTTGAGTTAGTGGGCAGGGGATAGTGGGTAGTGAGCGTGTGTGAATGGGATCTATGAAATACTGCAGCATGATGACTTCCAGTTTAATTAAGGAGTTTTCAGATATTAGTCCCCTTTGTAATTTGATATTAGTCCCTTAGATCTTTATATTTTAATATTAGTCCCCTAAATTATCTCAATGTGTTGATATTGGTCCTTCTAAGTTTGCCATTCAAAACCCTAAATCATGGTTGGGACTAACCATACATGAGGAATTACCTTATTACCCCTCCCTCTCTCTTAATTAACTCCTCCATCACCACCATCTCCATTACTATCACCTCCTCCTCCACCGGTATTCTCAGATCCCCTCCATCTCCTCCACCTTCATCGCCTCCTTCGCCGATATTCTCACCTCCTTCATCAACACAACCACCTCCACCGGTAAATAATATCACCACCACCACATTTTCCATCATCACCGGTACCATCTCCACCACGAAGACGCCAGAGTGGGTCTAGTAGAGGAGGTAGAGGATGGAGAGGGGGTGGCGGCAGTGGTCGAGGGCAAAGAGGAGAAGGAGGTTGGAGGGGAGAAGAATGAGAGGGGTATAATTGTCCATTCAAAAAATAGTTTAAGAAAAATATTAGCACCCACTTCAACACTAACTAACTAAGGGGACAGACACTGGCATATTAAGGTAATTAATTTGAGGGACTAATATAAAATATGAAGATTTGAGAGACTAATATCAAAATACCTATGGTTTAAAAATCCCTTTAATTAATCAAATTAATTTGTATTTTGATTTGTTAGTGATTGAACCAATATTATTTGGTCACTGACAGAGAGCGCATGTTTGTCTCTCATCTAATAATAAGGCAGGAAGCAATTCTGGTGGCAGCTTTTCGTTTTTGTCCATCTGCTGCTCCATGGTCTCTCTTTTTCATATCAAGGTATCAACCCAGCTGCACTCTTGCAAATGTTAATAGCTATGGTAGCTTACAGCGTCAACTTGAAGGAGGATAATTAGGTAAATTTGAAGATAAAATAGGAGCAAGGAGTAGGGCAAACTTCTGACAAGTTAAACAATGGCAACTCCAGCTCATGCAGTGTGTTCATCTTGGAAAATCTTCTTTTAATCTGGGTATTAGTGCGATGTTCTACACGCGCATGAAAGTCTTCTTAGAAATCTTCAACAGTGCTATAAGCATTTAGATTTCAATGTAAAGTGGGATATGTCATCAAAAATTTTATGAAAATAGGCAATTAATTTGTAGTGCAGGATCGCATCTCTACTCTTTTAAGTTCAGAGGTTTCTTATATAATATATAACTGTGAAATCTATGTATAATGAAAATTTACTTGACAATGAAGTACAGAAAAACACAATCTCATCAAAATTCTTATTGTAAAGTGTGGTGCTTGAGAAATGCTAATGGGTTGTCAACGTTATTCCATATGACATGCAGCCAATATCAAAGATGAAAATGTCATCCTAAAGAGTCGTTTCAAAACAATCAATTAATTTGTCTTTTTTTTTTTTTTGAACCATTTCTGGATTTATGCCTGGCATCCTTTCAACAGCCATGGTGGCAAGATGATTGCGTTTAGAACAAATCATCACTATTCTAGTCATAAATGGATGATTAGGATCTTACTAGTGACATACTCGCACAACATTATTTTCAATTGAGAGGATCAAAATTCATTCATGCATGCAAGAAGGGTTCTAATTGTTGATCAATGCATGCATATTTCCAGTTGCTGCCTTGCCTTCATTTATTTTTTATTCTGACCTTTTTCAATATATGGAAATCATAGAATATCTTAGAACGTGCGTATAGTTAATGTTTGAAAATCAAGACTTAATTCACCTCATAAACCAATTATCTTAACGAATATTAGAATGATTTGCGGATATTGATAACTAATTAGAAAACAGTTATTCAAAGTTAATGTAATCAAGATTAAAAGACTCAACAAGATAAAAATAAGAATAAAACTAATAGACTACACAAAGACTACAAAAATTAATAAGCCAAAACTAAAAGAATTATACAATTTAATTCTACATGTATAAATCATTGAAAATCTTACAAATACACAGACACTTTGCATATATCTAATCTTTGAAAAAAAACCAATAATAAACTTACGATATAAAATTGTGATTCTACTGTACATATTAAACGTTCAATGGTAAATGAAATGTATGTTCAGTTACCAAAGCAAGTAACGAACAAAAATAACAGGATACCAACTGAAGATCTTAAAATTGAAAAATTCCTCACAAAGGCTAAATGAAATACGTAAAAAATTAAGTTAATTGCTAATACCTTGGTTGTGCTTGGAAGCAAGCTGCGTAATCTACCAAGATGAGCGTTGATCCGCTCCCGCCTCCTCCTCTCAGCCTCGCTATGGCTCTTCGACGCGGCCCGAGCCTTAGCATCCAATATCTCCTGTGCACTCATCTTGCTGATCAACTCCGTCTGCAGACTCCCGAAAGAGCTCGTAGAACCAGTCAACCCTAACGGATCCAATAACGGATTGTTCCCCATAATCCCATGATCATAGGAGAATTGCATACCATTGTAAACCCTACGAGGATAGAAATCACCATAGATCGAAGGAGGAGGAGGAGGAAGCGACGAAAACGGACTGTTGTCATAGTTAGGAGAGAACTGGCATGGGCTTGGCCATGATTGCATTTGAGAAGTAGCCATAGATATTTCTGATTGAAAGAAGAATCCTTGATCAATTTGGTTCTCCATGTTGTTGTTTGCTCTTTTTCTCCCTCTACTTTCTGGATTTTTGATCCTTCTCAAACTTGCTAGCTCTTCTTTCTTCTTCCACTTGCTGATCCCCTCCTTTTAAATGATCTCTTTCTCAACTTTTCAACATGAACTTTACCTTCGAACTCACTCTACTGCTCTCTCACTAGGAAAAGGTATCGAGTTGCCCACCCTCTTGGTTGTAGAGAAATTCTACAAAGGTGTTATATTTCTATAATAAAAAATATAGAGAATTCTTAGCGGTTGAAAAAATTAAACTATCCAAAGAATCCTATCTAATTATTCTTCTGTTTTGCACTTATTCAAAAATAGACAGTTTTTTTTTTGCGTAAGTGTCTTCTCTGCTTTATGCTATTTATATAATTTCCCTTTTTCTTTTCTTTTTAGAAATCCATGTCATCTAACTTTTATTTTGTTCCCTGCACGCTTTTTTGGGGGGGAAGGGCAGTCATCAACCTAGTTATATATGGAAGCTTCCCCCTGGTTCAGGGACAGGATAGAGAAAGAAGGAATGTGGAAGGAAAGGGAATTAGAACCAACCATAGCAGGCCTGATGGGTTTAAAAGTAGAGGATATTATTATAATATATAAATGCAAAAGATTTATTTTAATTGATGATATAATTAACCTTTGCAATAATAAAAAATAACGGGGTCTATTTTGGTCAAGACCCACGTTTGCGGTATGATCTGACCCCTGCTTGCTTGCGCTTTATAGTTCCACGCCTGGCTCCTTCTCTCCAATACAATCTAATCATTTTGTCTTGGACCCCACCCTTCTCTTTTGGACTGCCTTTTTAAGTTCAAAATTATCAAATTGCAAAATTATAGCCCACAATATACATAATATTCATCACAAAGTTTAATTTTTCATATACTTAGAGTTTTTAAGATGGTAGAAACATGATGCAAAAGAATGCGGATATATCTTATAAGGATATATATATTAAACATTTATGTCCCATAAGATATGCATGAACACAAAAATGAATATTTTTCTATTTTTCGTGAGATATGAATGGATACAGTATAAGTAAAAGTTATGAATATGCATCCTAATTTATGTATTGATCTGTCGGTTGAAGTTATTGACCTTAGGTTAGTATATTTAATAGCAGTCTACTGCTGAAAATCAGTTTTGGTGAAGCATATATTTAACTTTAATCTTTTAGAAATGTCAAAGACGTTGATAAACTCTGATACTAGAAATTTGGGTTTGTTGAACAGATTTTGTATCACATGATCTATATGCTTTAAGTGGCATCTATTTTCTTCATATACGCTTTGTGTTCGTATATGTTCTTTATTATCGGATTGATAACTATTGGATTTTTCCGATATGAAATATGTATATTTCTTATTGTATTATTTACGCATTCGTAGTTGTAACTATGTACTAACTGGATGTAGATAAAATAAGAGATTAATGGGTATCATTGATAAGGAGGGGGATTCCCTCCTTGACAATGATGTGGCACAATCCTCACCATATGAAATTCTCTCTTCTACCTTATTCTCTCTCCTTCACATGGTGGGGATTGTGCCATATTATCTTTTTTGGTAAATGAAAAAAACTTTTATTCATCTCCCAAAATTTGAAAATGTGAGTACATCAAAACTTCACCAGTTCACGCCTGGCAAGAAACAAAATTACATTCTCTCAACAAGCTATTTTAGCTTACATTCTTTCTATTTTTTCCTTTATATGTTCAGGGATTTTTTCATTTAACACTTTTGATAGGATAAATATCTTCACCTCTCGGATTAACTGAGCAAGTGTATGAAGTTTTTGCTGAAAGATTCTTAGATTTCTCTCCTTCCAAATCCAATATATATACAGCTGCCGATAATGTCATTTTTTTCATTTTCTTCATGAATCCCTTCCCTTTCAAATTTATGCTATACCAGTTAATAACTTGATTCCAGCTGCATGATCTCCATGAATAGCCTAACCATTCAATCATTTCATTCCAAATATATGCAGAATACTGACATTCAAAAAAATAGGTGCTTACATGTTTCCTGTTGAGCCGAGCACAAGACACACTGGTTTTCATTCAGCATTTCTAGCCTACATAGTCTGTCCTTTGTCAGGAGCCTAGAGAGGGTAGTTAACCATAGTATAATTGAATGTTTAGGATAGTGTAGGCCTCCCCAAATTGTATCCGACCATGTAGCATGTTTTGATGATTGAGTCAAAGCTTTATATATAGCAGATATCTGAATCTTTCCATTCACATTACAATCATTCATAATTCTTTGCAGGTTATTTTTATCTCCAAATCTTCTAAAAGCCATATCCCTCACTTTGAGCAATTACTTCCGCATCCATGAATCATTTCTCCTTGGTTGTACCTGCCATATATCCAGTTGGTGTATGTAATTTTCATGCACCCATTTAATCCACAATAGATCTTTTTTAGTGTGAATCATCCATAGCAATTTAATTGCAGCTTCATAATTCCAATCCCTCGTAGTGAATAAGCCTAGTCCTCCCATCTTCTTGTCTTTGCATATATCACACCAAGAGACTAGATGAATCTTGCAATTCCATAAGAATGCAGAGCAGAGTTTATCTATTTTTTGTAAAACCTTAATAGGCAACACATAGTTACATGTCCAATAATTTTGAGTCCCTAAAATGACAAATTTTATCAATTAAATTCTCTCGGCATATGACAGCTTCCTCCTGCTTTGCCAACCTTGAAACTTCTCCGAGATTTTTCTTATCAGTGGTGAGCAATCTAGATGAGAACCCTTTTAGAAATCAAAGGCATCCCTAAGTATCTAACTGGCAGAGAGCCTTCTGAATAATTCAGGTGAGAACAAATTTGGCTCTTAACATTGTCTTCAACTCCACCCAAGGACACAACACATTTACTTGGATTTGCCTCCAAACCAGATACTCTACTAAAGTCTTGAAGGCAGCTATTCAATTTACTAACCAAGATCATGTCAGATCTGCTAAATAGCAATAAATCATCTGCAAAGATAAAGTGGGTTATCCCCATGCCAGAACATTTGGGGTGATACTTGAACAAACTCCCAATTTTGAGATTTTTTAGTCTCCTAGACAAGTACTCCATCCCAATCACAAAGATGTATGGTGATTATGGATCTTCCTACAGTAGTCCCCTTGCTCCCTCAAAATATCCATGCAACGACCCATTGAGAGATAGAGAAAATTTTGTAGTAGTTACACATTCTATAATCCACCCAACCATGTTTGTTGGAAACCCCAAACCTATCAGCATGACCCTGATAAATCTCCAGCTTATTGTATCAAAAGCTTTCCTTAAATCTATGTTGAGGATAGCCCTTGGAGATATGTGTCTTCTTCCATAATGCTTAACAAGCTCATGTGCAAGTAGGATATTGTTTGAGACAATCCTTCTTTTAACAAAGGCACTCTGTACATCATTGATTAGATACCCTATAACTTTCTGAATTCTAGCAGTCATTATTTTTTTAGATCGCTTTATAGGCACAATTACAACAAGAAATTTGTCTAAATCAGAAGGTGAGCTGGGATTTAGAACTTTAGGTACTAATGTGATAGTTGTTGTGTTGAGAGAACCCAGAAGATTACCATAATTGAAAAATTCCTACACATCTTTAATCATGTCTTCACCAATGATATCCCAATCAACTTTGAAGAAGGATGCACTATAACCATCAGGTCCAAGAGCTTTTTCATCATATATTGCATATACAACTTGCTTAATTTCTTCTTTTGTGATAGGAGAACCCAGAGCTCTTCTATGGTTATCTATGAGAACAAGGCCATCATAAATAACTACAGGGTCTAGGTCTGGAGTGTCCACTGTGTTGCCAAGCAGCTTCCTATAATACTCAACAAGTTCAGCTACAACTTTTGGCATATCTGTAAGTCTTCTTCCATCCTTCGAGTAAAGAGTTAATACTCTATTTTAATGTCTTTTGGCTTTCATAATTGAATGGAAATTTGTGAGCACTTGTCTCCATGCATAACCCAATTGCTATTAGCTTTTTTTCTGTGAAATGATTCTCCACAATGTATCGGTCTATTGTATTTTTTAATACATTCTTTCTCTTGAGAAATAAGATCCTGGTCGAAGAGATCAATACTTAACTGTTTTTGAACTCCAATTAACTCCTCTTTTGCTCTTCGGACTTGCTCACCGATATTCACGAAATGCTTTTTGTTTAGTTCCTTGAGAGCAGGTTTCAGCTTCTTGAGTTTGGAATAAAGCTTGTACATGTTATACCCCCTCATATCTTATTCCCAAATAGATTTTACAACTGTTAAAAAATCTGGATGTTTTTTTTCCATATTTTATAGAACTTAAAAGGCTTTTTACCTTGAAAATCTTCTTCACCAACAGATACAAGTGCTGGTGGATGGTCAAAGCAAACTGGCATTAAAAACTCCACTTACCTTTATGTATACTGATGTATCCATTTATCATTAATCAAGATTTTGTCTATTCTGCTCCAAACTCTATCATTAGCTTCTTGTTTGTTGCTCTAGTGTAGAAACATCCAATGGATTTAATATGAAGCAATTGACTTGAGGATATAAAGCTTTGGAAGTCATCTATGTCAGCATCAGAAATAAATGTTCCTCCCAGTTTCTCTTCAGCACTAACAATTGCATTGAAGTAACCACCAACCAACCAATGGCAGTCAACATTCTGCTTGAGATTGAGTAGGTCCAACCATAAACTTTTCCTACCTTCTCTTTGATTTAAAGCATAAATCACAAACATTAGACATGAGAATTTTCCATTTTTTAATTGAACTGAACAAGTTAAGCACTGTTCAGTTGACTTAACACTTTGAATTGTCAAAATGTCATTATTCCAAAGTAGCCAGATCCTACCATTTCCAGCTTCCTGAACACTTGAATTCCAGCTCCAATCTTTAGCTATTTTCCTGGCTATTTGCTTCATTTTTCCTTCAGTGGTTTTTTTTTCTAAAAGAGCTATAAAGGGAAGTTTGTAATCATATATGAATTGCTTGACAATTAAATATTTAGAGAATTTATTGAATCCTCTGATATTCCATATAGTTAGATGCATTATTGATTTCCACCCCTATTAATATAACAGAGGTCAAATACATTTACCTAAGAATCCAATGGAGAGAATTGAGATTTCTGGTTTGAATCCACAGAAATGTTGATTTTTGCTCTCCTAGCAATATTTGCTCTGCTAACACTTGTGAATCCAAATGCATTCACCATTGGAGATGTAAATTGGTACACATTTGCAAGACCAGAATTCTCATGCCTTATATTTTGTATGTCTGGTGGGCCTTTGTCAACAGTTTTACCCTTATCATTTATTTTGTACATGTTTCTCTAGCTTTTTGTTGTGCATTTTCCTCATTTTTTACTTCACTTCCCATTCTAATCCTTTCATGTGCATCATGTGTAGGAATTGTATTTTGCATAGAATTTCCTTCTCCTTTATTAGCATTTAGTCTTGCTTCATTCACATGATCCTGTGTGTTTTTTCTAGATATATGCAAAGCCTGTTCATCATTAATTCCCCCATAAGCAACTAATCTCAATCCAGTGACTTGCATCTTTCTTGCCTATACACTGTGCATATCTGTCTGTGCATTATGTGTCTGCACTTCTTTTTCCTTTTGTCTATTAACAGGTACACACATTTTCATGACCTTTTGTCTCCTGCAGTAGTTAGTATCATGCCCAATAATATTGCAAAATGTACACCATCTTGGCTTGAGTTCTTATAAAACACTCTGATTATATTTTCACCATCACGCCCTTGAATTTCAATAGAGTCAGGTAGTGGATCTTTCAGGGGTAGTTTCACCTCAAGTAGAACTCTTGCATATCTTAGCCTTTGTCTTGTTGCTGTGAACATATCTCTTGTTATAGGGCATCCAATAAGGCTTAAAATTTTGATAATATCTATAGCACTCCATAAATTGAACCTTAGATTGGAGAATTGCACCCACATTGGATAAGCGCAATCTTGTATTTTCTCCATTTTAGTATCAATTGACCATGGTTTAAGAACCAATGGTCTGGAACCAAAGAACCAAGGCCCTGTTTCCAAAACATTTCTCATCTATTGCTCCGAATGGAAATCAAATAAGAACACCCCTGATTTGATTAGTGTAATTTTTGAAATTAAAATTCTCCCCCAGGCTTTGTTTACATATATGCTTCCATAGATTTAAATTTAGCATTCAGCACTATAACATGACCTATTAAAGCATTTTTCTAGTATTCTTCTCCTTCCTTCCATTCCTCCTCAAAGAAAATAATAGCATTAGATTGAGAGGAGGGGACAAAATTAAGTGATAATCCTTTCCCAAATTTTCTATTATCTGAGAAGAGGCTAGCAAATGATTTTTTAGCTTCAGGTTTATCACTCTCTCTATTTAATTGTTGCTCAACTTTATCTGATTCATCATTCATTTTTTCCTCCAGATTAAACTTCCTAGAATTCATGTTCTCTTTAGTAGACTAATCTACTACTGGAGTAAAGACCTCAATATTACTATCAATCTCATCACCAGTTCCATCTTTTTCAGTTTCATATTATTCTTCTACATCTTCTGCCCAAGAAATTGAGTTAGAAATTTTACTTAATCGTCGAGCAAAAATTTGACCAGATCCATGCTGGATTGGATCTGAGAGAGAATTAGTCATTGCCATTATTTCCTCCATGAGTACCTTCTTTTTTGACCCCATCGGACCTGTACTTCCCATCATTTCCAGCGATGAAGCTCTCCTTGCTCCTACTGTTCCATTGCTTCCCTCATCTCTATCAATCTCCTTTGTTTCCTCACATCCCCCAGCCATAGGAGCAGAAGATGAGGAATGGTAGACGAAGATAGAATCCCTCAAAGTAGTATATGTGATCCCTTTGCTTCCATTCTCCTTCTTCTTCTTCTTCATTGTAGATCCAATCGGAGGCGCACGATAGCGGAAGAAATATCGCCCGCTAAAATGCACCTAATAGACTGCCAAAACTTTCAATATATATTGTGTCATATCATTGTCAAAGAGGAAAATCTCCTCCTTATCAATGATACCCATTAATCTCATAAAATAATTACTATCATATATATTTGATCCATTTGCATCTATGCAAAGTACACATTTGGAAAAGATTTAGAAAAGTGCAGTTGTACAAAAATAAAAATATCAGCAAACGGAAGACCAAAGACACATATATATTAGAGAACGATATTATAACGGTGATCAACTCTTCTCGTAACTTTGACAGTTTAATTTCACACAATAAAGTGACCCGTTCTATCTTTTAACTGTAAAAATCATTTAGTCAGCATGTAAATAATATTTTTGTTATAGCGCGCGCATGCCCTGGAGCTTGGTCCCCCCTCTGATCATCTCTTTCTCTCTCTAGTTTATAATCCTATTGTCGAGCACAAGGTCCACTAAAAAAATCAGAATGATGCGACTCCCACCACATACACAACATCCAACACACCAAAAAGCGTAGGGAATGTTGGGTCTGATGATGATGTCAGGGGCATGTTGGCATGACGTATGGTCAATTAATTTAAATTTGAAAAGAATTTGAAAAAAAAAACCCCAATAGACATAACCTTCTCCAAAATGCAGAATTAAAGTGGCCCGTACATCAGGATTTCCGTAACGCTGGACACAGTTTGGAAATAATTACACTGATTTAAGGTTCACCTAAGGGTATCCAGAAAAAAAACGACCGGGTTTTGGGCCCGAGTCCGAGTAGGTTCACCATTGCCAAGAAAGTAAGGGACTTGTTATCTTTGAAGTTTGGTAGTATTGATAATATGCTTTCAGTCATCAATATCTGCTGCACTGGAGATAATTTCAGCATATCAGCTATGTATAAAAGACTTAACCAACAGGTTCCTACAACAGCAATATCAGGAACTATTTGGGGTGGTTGGCACTATCCTAAACATTCATTCATATTATGGTTGGCTTCCATCTCAAGGTTGCTAACTCAAGATAGACTGTGCAGAATGAGGATGCTTAATTCAAATCAGTGTGTTCTATGTGCTGATATCAACCAAAGAGAAACCTGCAAACACTTATTCTTTGAATGTCAATACTCATCGGCATTTTGGAATAAAGCAATGGACTGGGTTGGCTTCAATTGGAAGACATGTAGCTGGCATCATCTATTAACTTTGTTTAGTATGAGTTTGAGAGGGACTGGCTTTAAAGCTAAGCTTAAAAGGATGGTTTTATCAGCATCAGTTTACATACTCTGGCAGGAGAGGAATCTTAGGATTTTCCAAGGACGTGCGCGTGATTCTGATACTCTCTTTCGTGCACTAAAATTCAGTTTATACTCCAAGCTTCTGAATGTAAAAATTCCAATTCATGTAAAGGAACAGATTGAGAGATTGGCATGAGGGATTGGAGCTAATACAGGCTCTGATTTGATATTTGAGAATGTAATTCATTTCATACTTTGGTAATGAAAAAAAAAAATTTCATTGACCAAAAAAAAACTTATATCAGCTTATGTGGATGGTCCATCAAAACTTCTATCCACTCATGTTGCTTAGGAATCCTTGCTTGATATGAAGAAGGAGCTTTTTATATATATAAATGAGTGGATAGAAACTTTGATGGACAAAGACTTGGTGTCCATTTAAGTTGACATAAGTTATATATATATATATATATATATATATATATATATATATATATATATATATAATATAAAATTATTATATATATATTATATATTATATAATATATATATATATATATATATATATATATATATATATATATATATATATATATATATATATATATATATATATATATATATATATTATATATATATATATATATATATATATATATATATATATGAGATTTAATGGGTATCCTTGTCATAGGAGAGGAATTTCCTCCTTGACGCCTCTAAAAATCACATGATTGAGCGACATTATGGATGATCCGCTCCGTTGAATTGATCTACATATTCTAAAACCCCAACACACCAAGTTTGGGGGTGAACCCGTCATCGTTTGACCCTCCATCAAGCCATGTGAAAAGTTCTATTCATTCTCAAACCGTTAAAATTGATCAGATTGTGGATGAAGGGTCAAACGATGACGGGTTCCCCCAAACTTGCGTATGTGTGGGTTTTAGAATATGTAGATCAAGTTTAACGGAGCGGATCATCCATAATGTCGCTTAATCATATGATTTAAGAGGCGTCAGGCAGGAAATCCTCTCCTATGACAAGGATACCCATTAATTCTCTCTCTCTCTCTCTCTCTCTCATATTATATATATATATATATATATTATAATATATATATATATATATTATTATATATTATATATATCAATATATATATATATATTAGTTTACATGACACATTGCATGTGATTAAATATTATTATTGTTTCTTTATAGCCGGCTTTGACTATTTCATATAACTAGAGATTTACTTATGTCTTTAGATCTTTTTAATGAGTATCATATACTTCTTTATTTAAGTGTCCTTCTCCATCCCATTCGATTAGTCTTGCAATTCAAAAAAAATTATCTTAACTATCTCAGTTATACCTTCTAGCATGATTCATTTATTTCTCAATACCTGATTGATAGTGACATTCTAATTGGATGTAGTTATTCTAGTCCAAACCTATCAAAATAATTGCAATTGGTGAAAACCCTAAATCTTTTGAAATTATTTATATTAAACATCTCATAACCAAAACTCAATAAAAACTTAAACAATACTTATTTGAGTAATGGTACTCACCTAATTATTTTTAATTAAATACCTATTGAACATCTCAAAAGCTCGTAATTGATAAAGATCCTAAATATTTTGAAATGATGCCTAATGAGCATCTCATAATCAAAACATTAGGAAGAAATTAAATGTGTCTACAAAGTATAATATTGTTAAGATAAAATGTTTAAAACAGAATGTATTAAATTGGAATTTAGTTGTAAGTTAAGAGTCCTTATTTGAGTAATTTTATAAAAATTATTCTTTCTAATTAATATACATATTAAACATTTCAAATGCCTAGATATCCAACTTTTTACTTTCTAAATTATCCTTTTCCAGTTATAAATAAATCCACTTAGTTGGATGCTTATAGTAAAATGTTGCGTATTTCATATTTGATATGATAAATTATTAGGAACATAATATATCTTTTATTTACTGTAGATAACTATGCGAACATAGTATATTATTTTAAAGACTAAATTTTAGAGAACTCTCCTTAACTTTCAATGATAATTAGATAATCTGCATAACTTTAAAAATATCAAGGAAACTCCCTAAAATTTAGAGGTTATTAAAAACCATTTCACTTTAAAACTTTGTTAGGAAACCACACTAAAAGAAATGGATTTAGGGGAAATTTTTGATAAAATGATTTTATAGACAAATTTACGATTCTTATGATTTGCGGACACATTTAAAAATACATACAATTTAGGAGGTATATATTAAAAAATCCAAAATTAAAAAAGGCATAAATTTTATTAAACATTGAATGAGTTTGGTGTCTAGAAAAAAATCCCAAATATCTTTAATACTCTCACTAAACCCCCAATAACACTTGGCAGAAAAGCCTCAAAATTAACATCATTAGTTTATGTATAGTCAAATCCTCAAAATTAACATCATTAGTTCATATATAGTCAAATGACCAAAACTCTCACTAAACCCCCAATAACACTTGGCAGAAAAGCCTCAAAATTAACCTCGTAAATTTTACATTTTTTAGTTAATCCCAATACTTTTTGACAAAAAAACCCTAATACTGTATGATTATAATTTTCAAATATCTTTAAAGATTGTGAAAATTATTAAATTTTTTCAAGAGGTTGATTGTAATTTCTAGATTTTAAAGGAGTTTGTTTCCAATTTCAATTTTTAGGGCTATTTGTACTTTTTTTTGGGGTTTTTTAATTTTTTTCAAGGTTTCTTTTTAATTTTCTAATTTAAAGGGCATGTTTATTATTTTTAGATTTATAGGGATCTCATTACAATTTTAAATTTTTATAGTGTTATTTATAATATTTTTACTTTTCATGGATTTTTTTGGTAATTTTCATATTTTTCAAGTGTTTGTTTGAATTTTTTGAATTTTTTGGGAGTTGATTATAATTTTTAAATTTTAAAGGTTGTTTGTACTTTTTGGTTGTAATTTATTAAATTTTGGGTGTTATTTATAATTTTAGAATGCTAAGAGTCTTTTTTCTTTTTTTAAAGATTTTAAAGGTTTTTTGCAATTTCAGCAAACCCTCAAAATTAACAAATGGTTAAAATTCATTGAATCCTCAATAGTTTTAGTATTTGGAACTAAATCTCCAATATCTTTAATACTCTGACTAAACCATCAATAACCTTTGGTAGGAAACTTGCAAAAAAATATCATTAGTTATTGTGTAGTCAAATAACAAGAATAAACCTTAACAACTTAATAAGTTTTCTATTTTTTACTTAACCCCTAATAAATTTTGGTAAAAAAAACAAATAATGGATGTATATAATTTTTAGATTTTTCAAAAGGTTTGTTTGTAATCATTGGAATTTTCAAGAAGTTGATCTTAATTTTTGGATTTTAAATGGGGTTGTATCTAATTCTATATTTTTCTGGGGGTTGTTTTTTTTATATTTCTTTATTTTTATAATTTTTTGTAATACTTTGTAAGTTTATAGTTTTAGGGTTTGTTTATGATTTTTTTATTTTTTAGGGTTGTTGCAATTTTAAAATTTTTGAGGTGTTATTTGTTATACTATGCTTTCTACGACTTTTCTTGTAATTTTATATTTCCATGTCTTTGAATTTTTGAATTTTAGGTGTCATTTGTAATTTTTAAATTTTAAAGAGGGTTGTTTGTACTTTTTGGATTTTTAAAGAGGTTGTTTGCAATTTATGCATTTTTTGGGTCATGTATAATTTTATAATTTTAAGAGCCTTTTTTTAATTTTTAGATTTTCAAGGGTTTTTTGTAATTTAAGATTTTTTTAAGGAGGGTATATATTTTTTAAATTTTTTCAAGGGTTTGTTTTTAATATCCCAAGTTGTAAATGGCTTTTTTATAATTTCTAGGAATTTGAAGGAGTTGTTTGTAGATTTCAAAATTTTCTATGTTATTTATAATTTTAAATTTTTTAGATAGCTATATGTAATTTTTTATATTTTTTAGGGTTGTTTCTAACTTTATGGGATTATTTGTAAATAAGAATTATTTGAGGGGTATGTATTATGCTTAAGGGTTAATTTTAGTCGGTGTAAAAATTTTTAGGACTGTTTATAAATGAATAGGATCATTTGTAAATAAGAATGATTCGGGAGGTATATACTATGCTTGAGGTTTAATTTTTCAATTATGAAGGTCAAGTGCAAAAAATTTAAATGTATTGCATATTTTGTGAAATTATCAAATTTACTAAGGATTTAGTAAGAGTTGCAAATATTTAGGAATTTAGTGCTCAAAGATATAGGAGATTTACTAAAATTTAACTCTTTAAAATAATTAAGGAGGGACACATGGCCTTTTTTAGATTTTGTAATTGTAGATTAGTTACAAATTATTTAGAATTAACAAATACGTGATTGTTAAAATTTTCTACTTTTTCATAGATAGAATTTTTTAATTATGGATGTGAATCGTTTTAATTTATTGAGAATTCTCAGGAAGATAGAGTTAGTTGGACACATGTCATCTTTTACTATGATAGAGAATCGGTTTCAGTGTTTGATCTCTTTCCATATCAATTTTTAGTTAAAGATTTTAATTTTAAAAAATTAATATTTTATTAATTATGATAAGATGACAAGGTAAAAAAATTAATATATTATTAAAGAAAATAGTATCAGAGTTTTTGTGCACGTGTAATGCAGTAATTAAATATCAAAATTATTTATTTATTTTTGTTTATTTTCTTACTATAAAATAAGTCAGATTCATTTTGAGCTAAAATCTATAAACATGGATTATTTTATTTGCCATAATTTTTATTTAAATATTTTTTATAAAAAATTATGAAATTGATTTGTGTGCAAAACTAGGATTAATATACTTTTATATACTTGCATACACAATATTTATTTTTAAATTATATTAAACTTCATGTAACATATTTATTTATCGAATCAAATCATTGATGTCCAATTTGTTTATCCAATTTGTTTATCTTAGTCATTAAATGTAGTGTTAAGTTTGAAAAAATATAACAATATATTATTGATGTGTTAATAAAAATATAACCAAGTACTTCATATTAAGATGGTTTGTATAAGCTAAGTAAAGAGCACATACTTTTCACATGACAACAAGATATCTTAATTATTGATAGACTTAAAATAAAAAAAATAATTTCTAAAGATTAATGATAACTCTAGTATAATTTTG